TAAAGAAAATATAAATATAACATTGTCTATAATATTATATATATTAACATTATAATATTATACAGTGTATTTCCGATATTAAGATTTTATTATTTATAACTTTATTGCATAAGTATACTATAGTATATAATATCTATCATTATATGTATTAGAATATTATAATACATTAAAATATTATTCTATCATGAAATTATATATATTGATATAATTTATATAATTGTTATAATTATATTATGCTATATATAATATAATTATTACATTATTATTATAGTATTAATTATTATCAAAATATTTGAAATTTTTATTATTTTAATGTATTGTTATAATTATGATATACGTTATAATTGTTATAGACACATATAATCGTTTATGTAATATATAAATGCTTTTGTAATATATAATTATATTGTTATATATGTATATATTATTATAACATTGTCTATTATAAGTTATTATATAGATAAATACTTTGGTATAATGTTATATATTATTAATTATAGATATATGTTTATATTTGTATATTGTTATAATTGCTATATATTTTATAATTGTTATAGACACATATAGTTATTTGTGTAATATATAATTGTTATATTGTTACAAATGTATGTATTGTTATAATATTGTCTAAGTTATTATATATATAAATACTTTGTTATAACATTATATATTATTAATTATAGATATATGTTTATATTTGTATATTGTTATAATTGCTATATATTTTATAATTGTTATAGACACATATAGTTATTTGTGTAATATATAATTGTTATATTGTTACAAATGTATGTATTGTTATAATATTGTCTAAGTTATTATATATATAAATACTTTGTTATAACATTATATATTATTAATTATAGATATATGTTTATATTTATATATTGTTATAATTGTTATGTATTTTATAATTGTTATAGACAATTATTTGTGTAATACATAATTGTTGTATTGTTATATATGCATATATTGTTAAAATATTATATGTTATTATATATAAATACATTGTTATAATATTATATATTATAAATTATGATATATAAATGTTTCTATTTTTATATTGTTAAAACTGTTATATATTTTATAATTGTTATATATACATATAATTGTTTGTGTGATATATAAATGTTTATGTGATATATAATTGTCATTTCCAGCTCAGTTTTCTCTCTGACTCCATAGTGTTGATGGAGACTGACCTAAGAGCTGAAGATACAAATGGCAAGTTTGGTAGAAATACCACAATTTACACTTTTTAAAAATCTCCTATAGATCCCAGAATACATCTTCTGAGAGAAAAACTGAGGATCAGAAGGGAACAAACCTAATTCCTGGTGGTCACTGAGCTGTCAGTGCAGGGGGTGAGTGGCAGCAGCTCCCAAAGCAGGGATTACAGGCAGGGGAGGAATTCCTGCCCAGGATTTTCCCCCTCAAGCTGCACCGTGCAGGAACTCATCCAGCAAAACCACAAACAGCCCCAGCCCTGCCTGCAGCCCCTGCCCAGAGCTTCCCTTTTTTTGGAATCAGCTGGGCTGGATAATTTGCAGATTTTCATTATTAATACCAAGTTTAATTAATTGGGGCAATTTACCCTCTTTGCTGTAATCAGTTCTGTTCCTTGTACTTCCAGTCCTTTTTCCTTGCCCTCTGAATTTGGCTTTCAAAATAACACCTAAGAGCTGATGTCTTGCAAACATCTCTGCACTGTGTTTTGATTACTGTTTTCACCATTTCATCTGTTTGAGGAGGTAGAATAACTCAGGTCGTACGTGGATTTGACACATTTTTATTTTGATTTTCGGCCCGTCCCCACTTCCCTAAGTACATGCTGCCACGTCAGTTTTCTGCAGTTCTACATTTGTTGAAATGCTCAGTCCTCCCAAACCTTTTAAGGATCGACAGGAGCACGTTTGTTCAATAAATTCCCTGCTGTTTCTTTCCATGCCAATATTGACTTTTTTTTTTGCAAGTTCAAATTGACTGCAGAGTGCATCCCATCAGTGTCATCAATACAGAGATAAGGACAACTGACCCAAAACCTGGTTTTCCAGCCCTGCTAATGCTTGGCTGACCTTAAGGAGCAGCTGTTGAATTCCTATATCCCTGGAGGATTTGTCAAACAGGGCAGGAATGAGGGCATTTGTGAGACCTGGATGGCAAAAGCTTTTCTTACTCCCCACAGTGCTTCTTTTTAACCAACTCAACGCGTTCCTGAAGTCTAGGAAAACAACAAACAACTTCAAATCCTGTGTATTAAAATGAGGATTAAAAAAAGACTGGTGGGCTGAAATTAATGATGATTCAGAAATGAGTCAGCTATTGAATTCTCCTTCAAAAAATCTGTTTTCAAGAAGGGGAAAAGAAAAAAGAATAGTATGAATAATTGGAAACTAAGGAGCTTTTGCAAGTAAATACTTGCAGCTGCTTAGTGGAATTCCAGTGGAATTCCAGAAAGCATGCACAAGAAGGAGCACCAAGAAAACAAATCAGTACTTTTACTGCAGTTACCTTTTAAAAATATTGATAACTGTTAGGATTTCAGTGAAAGCAGCAAACAATTTGACATTTTGAAAGACTTGAGAGATCTGACTGCATGTGGGACATTTATCCTCGAAGGGAGTTGAGCACAGCATCCATCCCTGGTCAGGTTGTGACCCCAATCCCACTCAGGGTGGGCCTCACAGAACTCTAGGCTGTCCCTTATATTTTCACATTTCACACTGATGCATTAAATTTATGTTTTCTTTCAAATTCCAAGACTTTTATTAGAAAGGAAAATGCATCTGTTTGTTTGAAACTAAAGTTGGTTCTGTTGTTCTGCTGCACTGGATATATATTATTTATAAATATAAAGCTTGTCAGATGGGCATTTTGCTAAAAAACTCACTTGATAAATTCTGAAATTTATAAAAAGAATAGTGATAACATTTAACACTGCTTTAGGTGACACCTCCCAGTTTGGACAAAAATAAAATTATTCACACCTGATGGACTGGCATCAGTAGAGGCCTTTGTCACAAAAACAAAACTGACAGATTTTTTTATCTTTGTGTCATATGTCTGTGATGTATTTTATTGCCTGTAGATTGTACTCTAGAATAAACCTATGGCAACATCCATGGGTTGGAATAGGTAAAAAAACCCAATACATAAAAAATAATGAGCTTTTCTCATGTTTTGCATTGGTTCAGACATAAAGCTCTACACACAGACTTGGGAAACCACTTTATTTTTATTTTTAATGTGTTCCAGCTTTCTCTTGAAGAGGAAGTACTAAAAAAATAAAACAATTAAAAAGGGGAAACATCTTAAGTAAACCACGCTTTGCTAAAAGGTATTTCTGTATTGATTTTGGACATCAGGTACTTCTTAAAAAGTGGGAAAGATTCCTCACAGCTATTTTCTCCAGCAGTAATAGAAAAGACAAAAATAATTCCCTTGCCTGCTTTAGGCACAGCAAGTAGCAAGATGGGAAAAGACTCCTCTTCTTTTCCTGTGTTTTTCTCCTGCCCATTGTGCAAGCACTGAACAATGTAAATTTATTTTAGGGTTTACAGCATGTCACCTTTGGTGTGTTTCCTCTAGGGGTGGGCACTCCACCACTTCTCTGGGCACTCTGTTCCAAGCATTTCTGACAAGAAAATATTCCTGAAGCCGAGTTTATCCTGCCCTGGCCCAGCCTGAGGTCATCTCTTGCTGATTACCTGGGAGAAGAGCCTGACCTCCCCTGGCTCCTGGCAGGGATCTGTAGAGGCTCCCCTGAGCCTCATTTTATCCAGGCTAATGAAGAATAAAAAAAACTCTCTAGTTTTGATGGATGGAGAACCTCCACCTTCAGTAAATATCACTTCACTTGGGAAAAAAATCCCATTCTTCTCCCTTCAGCTGCTGCAATCACTGCTGAGTGACTGCCACGACCGACAACACACTTTAGAACAATTCAGCATTTTTCTTCAACATATATATATATTTTATATCTAATATTTCTATTAACCACATCCCACTGAGCCCTGAGCATCTATAAAGTGTCAACCTCCGTGTTGTGAAATGGTACAAAAGTGCTCATCTTTTCATTTGAAGTCACAACAAGCTGTCAAGCTCCAAGCGAGGCGAGTGCAGCGAAGGCAAACCAACAAACACACAGGGGCAGCTCTGAGTACACGAGCTCAGGCGTACGAGCCGAGGGAATTTTAAGGTGGGTGGGAACACGGATGGGTGTTTTTCCCGGCCGGTGATGAATTTTTCCCGGGATAACCAAAAGTGATGATAATAAAACATGGATAATTGGGGTGGTCATGGGGAATAACGCTGTCCTTTGGGTGCCCTCTGCAGAACACTGCCGGGCATCGCAGCCCAGCCGGGAGTGTTGCAGAACATCTTAAAAAATAATTTAATAAAAAGGTGGTTTTGAATAAAAATTCCACGACTTTTTAAAAAACCCCATCGTCTTTATGAAAAGATGTGTGTATTTTTAAGCAGGCGTAACTTTTTCAGCTGAGGTAAGACAAAACGCTTCTTGGAAAAATACTGTTTTTGCCAATTTTTGAGACGAAAACCAGGTGCGATGATGCAATTTAGTGAGGTGTTTGGCTTTGGCTTACTGTGAATTTTGGTTGAATTCGATGGAGTCACAAAGGTTGTCCCTGTTGTGTCAGTCCCCTGCATGGATCTGCATACAGGGATCACTTTTTGTGAGCCTTTGGAATGTGGATGTCCTGGCAGCATCTTTAATCCCACTAAAAAAACCCCACTGGCTCTGTCAGAATTGCCCAGGAGTTTTTCCTTTCCCAGGTTGTGTAACTCATTCTGTTATTACTGGTAATAAATACACATCAGGCACTTTCATTCTCGTTTGTTAGCGTTTATTGTTGTTGTTTGCAGTTTTGCTATTAGTTATGCTCTCTGTGCAGTGCTATTATTTATTATTTAGTTACTCACAGCATTTTAAATGGTGTTTCTAAAAGAAGCTGACCTGATTCACATTTCTAAATTTCTTTCTAAATAGAGGATTCATTCTCTGCGTCAGAACCTGGCAAATGTTCTTTGATCTTGCAATTGTCTTCTTTATTCATAGCAGCATCTTCTTGTCCATTCTCTAGAGAGCTGGAGTTCTTATTTTGAAAGTGTTTCTTTACCAATGTATAAAAAATTATTCCAACCAAGAAGGAAGGAGCTACTAAAATTGTTCCTAAACCAAGGAAGACATACCTGTGGGACAGAGCACAGAAGATTGGGCCAGCTGTTGAATTTTTCAAAAACACTAAAGAAAATAATTTTAATGGCTTTTAAGGCTCTCATATATACAAAAAAAAAAAAAAAAAAAAAACAACAACAAAAAAAAAGCTTAGGAGAGGACATTAAAACCCATTGTTTGTGAATAATACCAGAAACTGGACATTTTTACTTGCAAAAACTTCTCTTAAAGAACAGATCATATTCTTTTTGCTTACAAAGATAATTTCAAAGTGAAACTACATCTTCCTTTTTCCCCCTTTTTTTCTTTTTCCTTTTTTTTTTTTTTTCGGGGGGGGGGGGGGGGGGGGAAAGATTTTTGGGCCACTTTAAGGCTTTAGACTCTTTAGGGCTAGAAATATATTGAGGTCACCAGAGTAGACTATTATACATAAAAATAAAAAACACACCAGCAGTGGCCAAGGCTTGAGTGAAACAGAGAAAAATCTATGGAGCATTCCCCCAGCAGGCTGGTGACTGGGTTTTACCACCACCTATAGCTACTCAGTGCAATATTCTTCCATGGACTTTTCTCCAAAAGTGGCCAATGCACAGAGTTAACATTATTGCCAGTGTGAACAAACTACCTGCAAATAAGCTAAATTTAGGTAACTTTCCACTTTAAAGTCCTAAAGCCTGAGGTATTTTTAATTGGCTAAAAATACACAATTCATTCCAGAAGTCTCTGTCATGGGTATTAAATTCCTTTTATACAACATAAAAACTGACTAAAAGTGGAGAGCTTAACGCTTTATCTCGAGATTTTTCAATTTCAGGAATTGTGGGCCGACTTAAAGCTGAGCCCAGAGTTAACACCTGACCATGATTTTGGATGCCTTTGGATTTTGGGCCCTAATTTTCTTCACCTGTTTGCATTGGAGTCATAGAGCCTGCAAGCCCCTCTCTTCCCACAGCTGGTGCTGCCCCACTTGAGGCACGTCCTGTCGATGGCTGCGCCGAAATAAACCGGAGCTGGAATCCCAGCTGCAAGGAGACAAGCAAAACATGGGAACAGGGCTTCGCAGGAAGGGACACCCTCTCAGGAACCAGCTTTCCATTTCCTCAGGGGTGGTTGCAGGCTGCCAGGGCAGCGCCAGGTGGGTTGGACCCTGCCGTGGTTTCTCTTACCCAGCATTCTCATAATGAGCGTGAAGAGACCCACCGCGAGAGCTTTGAGCTCTGGCTGGACACATCTGGAAAAAAAAGAGGGATAAGTGAGAAGTGCTGGCCTGTTTAGTGCTTAGACATGGCTGTTAAATGCTATTAAATAACCTGAATTTAATGCACTTGTTGATGGAAGAAGCACTTTGGAAGTTCTTTGGAAGAAGAGTGCTTCCTTCATATGCTGAAGTGTGTTAAGTGCTATGAAAGAGGTGAATTAATCTACTGATTTTCATCAAATAGCTCCTGGCAAGTCCATTCCCTATGCCTAGTTAAGGAGTTGAAGTTTTAAAGCCACAATCAGAGTCCGTCCTGACCTTTTGGAAATGATTTCTCCAACTGCTTTCACTCTTGGGCATACATTTCCTTCACTTGATGGAATATTTAATGGGAAATATCCTACTGCCCTAAGACAAAAGAGTTGCAGGTAGCAGGGTCAGCGCAGCATCTTTCTGTGCTTGAACAGAATTCCTCTGTACAAGAACACATCTTGGACAGCACAGAGCCTCCTGGCAATCTGTTCCATGGGGAACTGCAGGCATCAGAAATGGGCACTGGTCTTAAATTAATTTTATCTCCAGCATCTGCCATCTCCTTGCACATCCACAAATCCTGGCAACTGCATGGCACTTTCAAAATCCAAGCAGAAAAAAAGGACATGCTCTGGAAAACCTGATTACAGAACCAGAGAATCACAAAATGGTTTGGTTTGGAAGGGATGTTGAAGATTGTCTTGTTCCAAAACCATGGGCAGGGACGCCTTTCTCTGTCCCAGGCTGCTCCAAGCCCCATCCAGCCTGGCCTTGGACACTTCCAGGGATCCAGGGGCAGCCACAGCTTCTCTGGACCAGGGCCTCCCTCACAGGGAGGAATTTCTTTTAACCTAAACTTTCCCTCTTTCAGTATGATCCCATTGCTCCTTGTCCTACTACTACAGCTCCTAATCAGCAAGAAACTCCTTTTTGATCTAAGATAAGGAAACAAACATGACTTTGAAACTTCCCTAGAAAGCCTTTGGTCAACAGCCAGCTGTTCTCACCTGAATGTAAGCATGTATGAAGGAGTGGCTCCCAGGGCATAGAAAAATCCACCTATGACTCGTATTACTGTGTAATAAATGAAATTCCTCGAGCAATCATCACTTTTTGGACATTGCCCCAAGGTGGCAGAATTGTTTCCTGTCCATGAACTGTTGATTTCAAGACATCTGCAATTATGGAAGACCTGGAAGACACAAAACAGGTTTGGTAGGACACTGCTCATGAAGTGGGGATTCTGCTGGAGAGAAAACAGAGCAAAGAGACAGCTCCAGACCATGTGTGTTCTGGAGTGATCAGGAAACATGCAAATGGCACAGCCCAATGAAGGTTTACGTGCATGGACTGGAGCTTTGTCTCTGGGACTCTGGGCATTATCTCCATGCCAAGCAAAAATCAGTCACCCAGAAAAACAAGCAGCTTCCTGACATCCCAAAGTCTCACATGGAGGAAACAAGCTGCCTTGCCTTAACCTATTTTTCATACTTTAATGATCAGTAGCAGGGAAGATACTGCTCTATCTTAGTGTATTTCAGCTGTTAGGTAAAGCCTCAGGACAGCCAAAATGACATTTATGAAAGGCAAAACCTGTGGAAAACCTTCAGGCAACATGGAACCAATTTGATTTGTGTGTTTCCCCCTCTCATGCTCAACCTACAGAAGGTGAAAGTTAATATCTAGAACAAGGAGCTAGGGCCTTTTGCTTAATGTGCATAGACAAATCTCAGAGAAACCCACAGAGAAATCAGAGAAATCTCTCTTTTCTGTGCTCTTTGTAGCCAGAAAGCAAAAATCCCTTACTGACTAGACCCCAGTAACTTTGGCTTTCCTGCATGCATTCCTCCCACTAAATTCCTGATGCTGCATGGAGAATAAGCTGGTAGGAAACCTCGGGAACCACAGCAGGGTCTCTTACTGTGTTCTTTCCATGTCCCACGGAAGTCCCACACCCAGCCAGACATGCAGAAACATAGGTGATCCCATTGGCTCCACACACAGGGTCCCACACGTTGGAGGCACATTTGCAGTGAGAGTTGCATTCCGAAAATAGGGAATTGTTGTGGTATGGAATGGGGTTGCTTGGAAATGAAGTTCAGACAAGGGTAAGGCATTTTTAATTCAGTGCTGAAGCCAGTGAAGTCCCTCCTGTGTGACAGTGTTGCTGCTCTGAGCCCCACCTCACACGCCCAGGACGTGTTTCCACAGCTGAGTTTCTACATCTCTATTGGTCTGTTTGAGATTCCATCCTACTTGCACTGATATTAAAGCCATTGCTAGATTATAGAGGATTTTGAAACAAATGAAAACATTGCTACGGATTTTACAGGTGTAGACAGAAAACAGAAAGGAGGGAGAGGTCATTTGGGCTCCCCCCTAACTGAATTTAGAGCTGGCAAGGGTTATCACAGTCTTATCAAATATATCTTTATCAGATGGTAAAAATGCACCAATGACAGAAACCAGATCTCCTGGTCTCTGTAGTTAGAAAATACTCCTCTGTTAAAGCCTAGTCTAGCTTTTCATAGAGGATATAAATAATTTAGTATTATCTTTTGCTTTCAGACATCCTTTGTGTATTGAGGGAAAAGATATGTCTTCACTCAGTTTCTCCTTTCTAGGCAAATGAAACTGATGTGCTTGCCATTTTCTTATCCCAGTGCTTCCTAAGCATATTATTCCCTGGTCCACCATTTACATTCCTAGTGAAAACATAGCACAGCAGTACTCCCACCCTCCCCCAGCAGAACAACCAACATTGCTAATGAAGCAATTCCTAATTAATCTTTAACCAGCATTGGGCTTTGGCAGGCTGACCAACAAAATTACCCCAGTGACATGTGGCAGTGCTCACTTTCTCTGAAGCATTGCAAAAGCATCTTTTTCCTTTAGCCTTGATGCCACAGTACATTTTTTGAGAACTGTGGAGAAAAAAGCATTCTTTTTTTTTCTATTCTATACTCACCCTTCATAGGACACTGTCATTCCTGCCACCACGTGGTTATCACAGCCAACAAAAAAGCGTAACAAGCTGACGGCATAGGACAAAAATGACATGGTGAATGAAAACTTTGTCGCTGCAATGACGCCCATCTTATACTTTTTCATTATAAGCCCTCCTAGGAAAATTCCAAGAAGTACAGGAGGAAAGGATGTCACTCCTGAAAGAGATTATAGAAGGGGAATGTTAGAATTAAACATTATAGTCTCAAGAGCCAAAGTCTGTCCTTAGTTTTTTTGTTCCTGGCAGCTTTATGTTCTGTTATGACTTTAGGAAGGTTTGTGTTCACTCCAGCCCTGGGAGTTGATGTTTGTGCAGTGCCTAACCCTCCAAACCCACTCCCATTGCAAGGAACTTGCTTCAGCAACCAAAACTTCCACACCACAGTCATTGCATATTTGGGGTGCCCTAGCTATAAATATCACATAAATGCAATGTAATGTGATATAACCTAAAAATTTCTTATGGTCCCACAGGCACAAACCCTGTATTTTTTTTATAATTCAGGTTCAGGTCAGACCACCATTTACCCCCACCTGCTCTGCCTGGAATTCAGCCCCAGAAAGAGCCCACCAGAACCTACCCCCATGCACTGCTGACAGCACAAGCAGCCCTTGCATGGTGGAACTCACCTATTAGGAAGTTGGATTTAGATGTAGATTGTCCATACTGCTGTTCCATGTACTTTGCTTTGTAAGTCACAATACCAATAAAACTGTTGAACTGTAACAGTGAGCAACACAAAAATGTAAAGTACATTGGATTACCCAATACCTTTTTCAGGGAGTTATAGAAATCTGAAAGAGAGGGACATATGAGTTGGCGTTGAAAGATGCACGGCATCATTACTGGTGAGTAACCTACAAAACTTAGGGCAAGCTCCTCCTCTCAGCTGTCCAAGAGCAAGCTGCACTGATCTCCATTTGCATGAGGGTATCTGAAAGCAAAATCAGGCTCTTGAAAAACACCAGAGGCTGAGATACAGGAAGAGAATCCTAAAGGAGACAGAAGTTAAGGGGGTTAAGGCCTGGCTGCTCTGTTGAGATATGCACATGAAGACTAAGGGGCTCCACACAGCACAGCCTTTGCTCAGCTTCCATGAATATTACCACAGGCTCAAGGCTAAGTGAGAGCTGCCTCAGTGGGGGTGTCCAGTGTCTTCCACTGGGATCTGAACAAAAAATTTGATAAATGAAGCAGAGTCACTTTTTTCCATCACTTTCCCATGACTTTTTTTGGCCTAAGAACTGCGCAACCATAACTATTCAAGACTGAAGTATTTTCATCAGGCACCAAAGTACTTCAGAGTCCCCATGAACTCTCTTAAATTAATAATTTGTCTTTTCATATGGCAAAAGGAGCCTTTGAATATTTCCTTCAGGTTCACATACAGGAACACTTTTTTTTTTTTGTTCAAATTTCTTCCAGTGCAAAATTTTAGAGGGAGGTGCCACCCAGGTGATGATTTATTTCAGGCAATGCATGCAGAACCTCAGAATCCTGAACAAGCTCTTTCACTTCTAATAATTTTTGGTGGACCTTTCCTTTCCTGGGGATAGCTGCCTGGTTTAGATGGAAGCGCAGGGGAGGCAAAATATTTTGCAGAACTGTTACATTTCCTATGTGTGTCGTGCCTATTGCTTTTCACATTTGTACAACATGAGAAACACTTGCCTTTCAGCATCACTGACCACTTCCTTGGCTTAGTTTTTTCAGGAGAAAGTTTATTCCCCGCAGCACCCATGTTTTCCAAGAGCCCATGTGAACTTTTGTCCTTCTTGGCTTCCTCTGGCTTTTTCAGACTCTTTGGCAGGAAGCAGAATGGAATAGCAGACAGGAAACTGGCTGCTCCACCTATTAAAAAGCCAAGCCACCATGCACCCACCCAGCGGGAGTCCTGTGGCGTGATGGTGATGCTCCCTAAAAATGAGGGAAACAGGCACAAGTTATCCCAGTGGAGAAGCTGAACCTCCCCAGCCCTTTTCTGCTGCAGCAGCTGCATTTTATAGTGCCTGACTTCCAGCAATAAACATCTAGTGAGGGACCAACCACGCAGTGAAGGCATCGGGAATCATACCCTGAAAGGTGTTGTAGAATCATGGATTGGTTTGGGTTGGAAGGTGTCCTGTGGGCAGGGACACCTTAGGGTTGACCAGGATGGTTTGAAACCCTCCAGCCTGGCCTTGAACACTTTCAGGGATGGGGCATCCAGAGCTTCTCTGGACAACTGGTTCCTGTGCCCTACCATCCTTGCAGGGAAGAACTTCTTCCTGATCCAACCTTACTCTGTTTTGGTTTGAAGCCATTCCTGTTTGTGCAGCGTTATTTTATCTGCCATTCTACACCTTTCACTGCCTGATGTCTCGTGGCAGACACAGCAGCACCAAGGTCCTCACCCAGCACAAGGGAAACCAGGCAGGGCTCACTTGTGGTGTGTTTTTTGGCTCCATGCTCTGCTTTCCTGAATTGTGTAGGCTGCTGTGAAGCAATTGGACATTCTCTGTAGTGTCAGTGAAATTACCCATGGCTTTAAATGTACTGCAAGGAAGATGGGAGCAGCTGGTTGTATTTGGATGATTTTTGATTCTGGCATGTTTGGCGGGCGACCAAGATCATACGACTTTTCACTGCATGACCAGAATTGGCTCACTGTCTTTACTCCTAAATAAAATCAAACATTGGCTTAACGAAGGGCAAAGACAAAATAGTTCACCCATTCAGCTACAGGATTCTGAAGATCTGAAAACTTCCCTGTCCTGCTGGAGAAACAAGACCACTGCAAAGGAACAGCCACCACTTACAGGGATTGCTGTGTCCCCTCTGGCATTGTGCAGATGTGAGCACATGCATGGGTTTTCATTTCATCTGAAGAAGGAAGGGCTGAGAAAATGTGTACATTGTGCTGCAAAAACTGTGTGGAATGCAAATAATGCAAAATACTCAGTGGAAAGGGTGGGTAATTACCCCAAACTGTAAAGCTGCTGCACTAGCAGAATCTTTTTTTGTTATATTTCCAGTTTAGAAAAAAATCTGGGTTCTGTGAGAGTTCTTGGTACTAATTCTTAGGTTAAGTGTGTATTGCAATCCTTTAATATTAAACCACAGTTCTAAAGTATGTTCCCAGTCTAACTCTGCCTTTACTCTAAAAGATTTCAGTAATTCAATAAATAAAAATTAATACATTATTTCAATAATAATCCATATTTTCAATAATATAATATAATGCTATAAAATATATTATATTTACATAATACATTTATATTTATACATTATATAATATATTTGTATAATCTATTTATATTTTGCATCTATTTATTTATATAATCTATTTATATTTTGTATCTCTTTATGCATATTAATATTTTATCTTGATATAATTTATTACATTTAAATAATATTTCATTATTATTATTGAAATAATTTACTTATAATAAATTATAATAATATATAATATTATATACAATATTATATATTATGTATTATATATATTATATAATATGTAATGTATAATATATATAATGTATAATATCTAATATAAAAAGTATAATATATAATATTTATAACTCAATAAAAATAATAAAAGTCAATAAATTCTACAATAAAAACAATTAAAATAAGTATAATTCAAACATAACATATACAATATAATTAACATAATGCATACATATGCAACCATTTATAGGCAATTCTTATGAACAAGCATTAGCTTACTTCCACTTTTCCTCTGTTTTGCTCACCTGGATCCACGAATCCAATATCCACGTAGAGCCTTGCACACAGAGATCCCAGCAGGAAACCAAGCATGGGGCCCATCATGGCTATGGTGTGCAAGCAGGCTGAAAATAGAACGAGGCAGATGCTAGTACCCTCAGATGGCTGAGTGCTGTCTCCTGCAGAGGGTCCTCGACCTCTCACCCTGGGAATCTCCGAGTTCCCTTCACGTTGGGATTACCTACATACACGGGAACGTTCTCTTCTTTGGCAAAGTCGTCGAGATAGGAGATGCCCAGGGGCGTTATTGGTGTCTCACCAATCCCACGCAGCATGTTTCCCAGCAAGATGTATATCCACATATATGATGATGGCTCCTTCTCACAGCCTGCAGAGGAGAGTTCACGCCTTTGTAATAAAATATTTGAAGGGGAAACTGGGGAAGATCAAGGAAATGTAGCACATGAAATGATTATAGATTAGAAATCAAGGTATTAAGAACAATTCTTTATAGAAGATAAATAAAAGGCTGTCAATCCCGTTATAACTTTTCATGATCTTTTAATAACACATTCTTCCACCTTCATTGCATTTGATTTTTAAAAGCACAGGTATCACCCATCAGAAAAAAATCTCATTAAAAAAATAACTTATTGATATTTTCATAAATATATTACCTGGCATATATCATGTATCTTTAACGTGACAAGTTTGAGATGGTTTCTGGTGCAGAGCTTGGCTCATTCTCTACCTGTGTCCCATACAAGCAACACATAAAACAGCTGTATTCCATATTGTAAGGAGGATTATAGAAATCTCCATTTATTTCTGTTACTTTCCATGCAGTTTCATACTCTGTCCCCATCTCCAGGTCCCAGGTAAACAATCTCCTGTATTTGTGCTTTCATTCACAGTTCCATACCTGCTCGTGAGACTTCCAGGACAGTGTCATTCACATCTTGATGTATGGAGCAGGGATTTATGCTGAAATTTAAGTTGGCTGAAGCAACTGTGCGTGATGTTGTCTCATACTTGTAGCTGCAAACACACAAGAGGAGGTTTAGAAGCAGTGCTCACCAGGGAAACACCAGTGTGGTAGGGCTGGAACCACCTTGGCTGCTGTTTCCCTAAAGAGAAAGGTGTCTTTGATTAAATATCAATTCAAACGAGCAAATAAGATTATTAAAGAACACTTTAGAAAACCAAAATACTGAAGTTAAGAACAAATAAAACTTAGAATTCTCTATCTGGAAGGCATAATGTTTTAAGCTGTCTGGAAGCCATAATGTTTTAAGGGCTTGTGGAAGTATTTCAGATAGGATTGAATTTTTGTGTCTAAATTGAGGGTTAAGTGAGCTCCCTATGTGGACCCCACAGCCAAGAAGAAAAAGATTAATGTCTTGAATTTGAGCAAAGGCCCCCTTTCCATCTTAGAGATGTGTTTGGTCTGTTCAGCTGCTTCAACATTATCCCTCTCTCAGAAACGAGTGCTGCTGAAGGGCAAAGTACAATTAGCTTTAGCAGAACAACATGCTGAAGCACACATTCAGCTTCAAGGAATTGCCCTGGCTCTGGCAGAGCACGCAGGCTTATTTTTCAGGCTGAAACAAAGAGCAGTCACCAGGAGACACAGTGCAGAGCAGCTCCCCTACAAATGTTCAGGCTCGTGACTTGCCCAGTGTAGATGAGGATGATACATGGCCTGTCTTAAAGAGTGAAAAACCGATGAAAAGTCTGGTTCTAGTGCAAGATCCACTAACATGAAAGAAAGCGTTCCTAAGTTTCCTTTTTGCAGTGGTAAACCTAAAATTATTCTAATATATTTAAGGAATCAACAGAAATATGTCTCACTCTATTTGTCATCCCCGTGCTCAAGCTATGGCTAGAAACATTTTCACATATGAGCATAATGCAGTAATTCCCTGAGCCTGGAGAAGGTGAATAACAATTAACCAGACACAGAAAATCAGTTTAACCAGGCATGTGCACTGGGAACAGGAAAAACCTGGTATGAATTCTACCAGCACTCATCCACCTGCAGGCTCCAGCACCACTGCATTCGTTGGTTCCTTTCTGAACAACTCTGAGTGGAAACTAAAGCACTGTGATCTTCTCATTTCTTTTGAGGAGTTGAACTTTCACTTGAGAAGAGCTGTGTTTTTTAAATGAACATTCCCCATCACAACAGTGATGTGTGTGCCACCTGGGGTTTGTTGCACTTGGAAGTGAGATTCCACAGGAAATCTAAGGCTAAATGCACATGTATCATCTAAAAAGCAGCATGCAACTCCAGTGCTAGGTTACCCAAATTAACCATAATCAGTACTTACTATCCCGTGAAGAAATGAGGCATGGCTGACAAAAAGCATCCCAAAGCCATAGTAAAGCATCCCGCAGCTATTACTCTGGGCCTATGCAGCTTAGCTCCAAAATAACTTACAAATGCAATCACCAGCAAGTTCCCTGCAAGGAAAGGAAGCAGAATGAGTGCCAGCTGCTGTCTCTGAGCAGTTCTCAGTGTGTTAGGGAACACCCATTACCCATCTCGAAGCTCCCGTCGATGAGCCCTGCGATAGAGGAGGTCAGGTCAAACCTTCTCTCAATCTGAGTGATGGAGCTCTTCATTATCGTACCAGACAGGGCTTTACTGAAGTAGCTGAAGGACAGAGCAGCCAGAAACACCTGGGGAAAAGATTCAGACAGGAAAGGGGAGGGACAGGCAGGAGAACTGGTCACAGAGGGATCAAACGCACTTAAAATGATGTGGAGCCATCATCATCGTGACATGTTTGACACTCAAATTGGAGTGGCAAAGTCAATCTGAGCCCAAATTACCTTTTGCTTGGGTCACATGTCCCTTAATTTAGGCCAATTCATAACTGCTTCTAACTCAATCATATGGCATCATTTTGATGCTTTCAGCAAGCTTTTATGATATATCAGTATGAGGAATGTGGTACTAACTGGTTGAGCTTATCTCTGTGTCAAATGATATATTCTGAAATGTTGCTTGTATATCATATATCTCACAAGGAAAAGCTTAATACTCTTTTGTAGTTTGACTGTTGCTTCCACCAACACACCTTGTGGCTTTTGCAAATAAGGATGTATTTGGAAAAAATATTTAAGTTTGTTTAAATATTATCCAGTGATTTCCACATAGTCTAAAAACCAAATAGACTTGTTGCTCACTGGGCAAGAGTTCTAATACAACAGAAACTTGGGTAAATCAACAAAGTAAATGTAGGTTTAGACATTGTAATTCTATTGGTTGCAAAGCCAATCCAGGAAAAAAAAAAAAAAAGCTTGAAAATTGGTATATTTACTCTCTTTTTGTCAGGAATGAAGAGAAAACTCTTCCAAGTGTGGGGTTCGTCCTGATACGTTCTACATTTCCTGAGCTCAATTGGCAAAAATTCTGAGAACCACCCTTTGTGCCTTATGCCAGCAGTACTCTGAGAGGGTTTGGCTGAAACCTCAAACTGCTGATAAGCATGAAAACACAAACAAAAATCCCTAGGGTCGTTTGGGGTTTAAAATGCAATGCTCAGGTCAGCCACAAAACCTTTGATGAAACGTGGCTCACCTCACCTTGTTTTGACCCTACGAGACTGGTGGTGACAGTAACCTCCAGACAAGTGCATGGTAGGCACTCAGTGAGGCTGGTTCAAGTTTTCCACCTGAAGCTGCTGCCTCTCTCTAATGACCAAGAAAGGGATCCACCTACAAGTAACTTGTGAGTAAATATGGTAGATCGTGAGTTTTTGTTTTCTTTGGGAAAAATATAATATCTGACTGTCCCTTGGACCTCTAGTGCATATCCAGTTCCTCAAAGGACAGGGATAGGAATGAAGGAATTTGGCACGTCACAAATGTCACTTCTTGGAAAAAAAACCCAATGGTAATTCATGGTGATACTGCTAAGGCACCAAACCTTCAATCCAGTGCAAGAGGAAGTCTTTTTGACTGGTGGGTTTTTGTTTCCTTCATCATCCAGAAGCTGGTCAGGTTCTGCCTCCTGGTTTGAGTCACTGACGTTGCTGGGTTTGGTTTCCACTGTCATGGCTGATTTCTTTACTCAGTGACCTGAACTCAAGAGAAAACAGTAATAAATGCAAAAGCACATATGCCAAAACAGAGCTGCTCAAGGACCTCTCTGATGAATCTTGTGAAACTAATTACAGGAAAGTGCTGAGATGTTGAAACTGAACCTTGCAACTTAAAACCATTTGGCTCAATGACTTGCATGTTTCAAAGTGTATATTTGTTTAAATTCTGAAACATCTAGTTTTGACTTCTTTTTTTTTTTAAGAGATATGAGCACCCCGCTTTTTACCTTGTACTGTCTTTTAATGCTAAAAAGGCTGTTTAGACAGAGGAGCAAGAGACAAAGTCTCTGTCCAAAAATAAACTACAAGGGTCAACAAAGCAGTAGTGCTGAAGTACAGGGATTCCTAGGAAGCTCTGAATTTGCAGGCCATGTGGTTTAGAACTCAGGATTTGGTAAAATCTGTAGCAACACTGTGCCATCCAATTTATTCCTTTACCCTGGCTTGTTGGAAACAATTCTTAGTGACAAAGGAGTTTATTATTTCACCTAACTGACCTCCTGTAAGAATATTACATGTTTCTTTTCTTGTTGCAATAACATGCAGGGTATCCCTGATCTCTTTCTGTTTGCACAGTGCTGTCTATATGCCCACATGCTTGAAATCATCTGCAACTCAGAAGTTCAGCAGAACTTCTCCAGTTCCCACAGGAGCTTCCTGTAGCCATAGACAATGATATATCCTTTGACACATCATAATGTTTTAGTGCTAAAATCCTTGTTTGGTTATTAAGTTGTATTTTGGTTTATTGCAATGGATAGCTCAATACTTCATCTTTTTTTTTTCTTTACTCAGCTTTTTAAAACTCTGTATCTGAGAGATGGACAACAACTAAAAAATGAAAATTCAGAGAAAAGCCATAAAGGAAGCCTATATATCTGTTTGCATAGTTTATTTAAAGAATGAAAACACTTGCCTGTTTGTGCAACTCCCACTACAATCAGAACAGATTTCTCAAGGACGATCCAGAAGCCACTGCAGAGCCCCTCAGAAAAAAATGGGTCACTTGAAACAAGCCATGTTCAGACCTGCAGACAGGAGTATTGCATGTTCTATTAGAGTATTGCAATTAATCGGAGCTCAGAAATCTCAGCTCACATGACCTGGTTTGTTTTACCTTTCACAATACTCTCCTCATTTGAGAAAAGAGCGAAAAAGAGAGAGAGGGGGAACAAATCACACAAAGAGAGGTTTTATATGCTTGAATGCAGCTGAAAAAAGTTGGATGAACTTTTCCAGTGCTGGAAAACGTCCATCTGCTTTCCCACTGCTAATATCTACTTCCCAAACTCTTTTGTGGCTGTGCTATGAGGCTGGGTCAGCACATGTATCAGGACAAAAAAAATTGGCTTCTCTTTCCCTTTGGCTACTCAGACAGATAGGAACAAGAAGTAGAGGAAGGATTTCTCCAGGACTGCAGAGCTATGAACAAAAATGTGATGAAATAAAATTTCTGGTGCTCAGGGAAAGCTAATACACAAAAATTGCTGAGCAGCTGGTCCTCTGAAATTCACCTTTCTTTGTGTAGCCTGAGGGTACAAACTTCTCCTTGAAATTATGATACATTGATGACCACAATAATATGCTGGGGGATCGTATCACTGCAGGATTGGAAAAGTGGATTTTTTTTTGAGAGTTTAAAGGTAAAACATGGTTTAGAATCTGGTGACCGTATGTCCTCCCACCCTCAGATGACCCTGACCTACAGAGATATCAGCTGGAGATGGAAAATATAAAGGCTGGGGAAATTCCAGGCCACAAGAACATTAAAAAAAAAAAAAGTCAATTGACAATTGATGACAACATACAGTAGCTGCTGAGCATGATAATTTTAAGTATTGATAAAGCTGTTATTTTAGATTTTTTTCATTAGTATTTTTTTCCATGTTTAATAAATCAAGGGTCTGGTTAAAAATAGGAAGTATGAAAGCAAAAGTAGGAAGCTTTCTGCACTAAACATGCCCTTTCACTAATATGAGTTCTCTAAAACTACCATTCTTGGCCTGCACAAGCTACTCTTCTGTAATAGTGATCTGAGAAAGTTGCATTTGCAGAAAGACTAGATTAGGCAAGTAAATAATTGGTATTGTCTAGGTAGTCAATCAGCCTAAACATAAATTAACCCATCTTTCTTCCTAGGGGAAGAAAACAAACCTCTTCCCAAAAAAAAACCAAGAAAAAAAATCCACTAAAAAATTCTAAGCAGTACAGACAGATGAAATTTAACACTCAGTTCACTTTTTGGAACATTTGACAAATTCACCTGATTTTATGCTCAGTACAGTCTCTTCTGAGAACCACATCGGGTGGGAGAAAACCAAGGCTCTGAACCAATAACCAGTGTGAATTGTTTGTACTGCTGGGAGCTGACAGCTTCCAGGACACCACGGGAAATCAGGCAGCAACTTGCAATTCAAGTGCAGAGTGAATGCAGCCAGCCCTGCAAAGGACAGGTTTCCTCAGTGCTTCAGGGGATGTGATCTTATAGGGATCACAGCCTAACTCCAGTAGATCTGCTCCTTATTGGATACAGAGCTGTTTCTTATTGGATATGCAAAACCAATCAGCTTGTTTTATCCCCCCTAATTACGTGCAAATTATAATCAATAAGAACATCAACTAAAAAATACTCCACGTGAATAACAGGTAATAAGTTTACAGGTAATAAGTTTACAAAGGTCAAGACAATGGTTTGCTGCAGGTTTTGTAGAGTCTTACAAAAGAAAAATATAGTGATGTTTGAGGACTTTTAAGAATGCAGCAAAGACACTCTAGGTCTTTGGGCTGATTGTCACCCCAGGTGCAGTCTCAGGGACTGTGACATCACCCAGCAGAAGAGCAAGCCACAAACCAAGAGCCACATTTCCTGCAGTAATTTATGGAACTGCAACGATTTACACCAACTGCAGCGCTAATCCAACTGTCTGATCTTTAAAGACACCTCTGAAGCTCAGCTGCCATGAAAAGTGAGTACCACAGAGCTGGGCAGACCCCAGTGCTCCCTGCTCAAGACACAGCATGCTGCCAGCTCAAGGACACACACACAGTGCAGGGTGCCACCACTAAAGCACTGACACGTCCACCAGGACTGGCTCTGCTGCCACCAATTACAGCAAATGCAACTGGAAACTACACAGGTCCTGTTTGGCAGCTGCAAACACTAACAGCAACATTTTAAAGACAAACAGAAAGAACACTGAAGAGGTTCCTAAACAGAAAAGACACTGAAGATGTTCCTAAACAGAAAGAACATGGAAGAGGTTCCTAAACAGAAAGAACATGGAAGAAGTTCCTAAACAGAAAGAACACTGAAGAGGTTCCTAAACAGAAAGAACACTGAAGAGGTTCCTAAACAGAAAGAACATGGAAGACGTTCCTAAACAGAAAGAACATGGAAGAGGTTCCTAAACAGAAAGAATACTGAAGAGGTTACTAAACAGAAAAGACATTGAAGAGGTTCCTAAACAGAAAGAACATGGAAGAGGTTCCTAAACAGAAAGAACACTGAAGAGGTTCCTAAACAGAAAGAAAATTGAAGAGGTTCCTACCTAGGTTCTGCATCCACAACAATAGCAGTTATATTACCACACAAATGCCCAAAAGTCTGAGAATTCTCTCCTTAAGCAAAGCTCTGCTGGTACATGGTAGAAGAATCATTAACTTCCAACTCAAACCAGTGTTTTAATCTTGTCTCCTCCCAGTTCTGCCCTCTGTTAAAGGTCCCAAAATCCATGTTTGTCCACAGGGGTCAAAAGTTAATTAGGAAGAAGACATGCAAGTGTGTTCCTTTTGTAAATTTTTCTGAAACATTGGTGTTTTTTGGGTTTGTTTTTTTTTTTTTTCCCCTGAAATTGTCTACATTATAATGCTTCACACCTTCCTGGTGTTGAAAAATATGGTGTCCGAGCTTTAGAAATATTCCTGTTGCTAATGCATTTTGTTACGAAGGTATATTTTCATTTTCTATGGCTAAAATCCATTCAGCTCACATTCTGCTAGAGCCAGCCAAGAACTTGCAGGAATAGAGTATGGAATGCCTTGGATATATGGAAGAAAGGCGGTGTTCAAGAATCATTCATGCTTAGAAGACTGTTCCTACTTATAGTTTATTGCTACTAGCAGCAAAAGCAGGTGAAATATGAAAGTTCATTAGGGCTGTGTGTACTTTGGAGCAGCCCTTTATCACTTACAAGCCCGGTTCAAGGAAACCCAAACAGGTTTATTTGGTTGTGCCCCTGCTGTGCCTTCTGCCTGATTCCTGAGAGTAATTGTGCTCAAAAGGCAAGTTACTCTTGAGGCAGGTGAGGCATGACTGCTGTCTGCCTGGACGTTGCACCAAAATATTCCATTCCTGGCAGCTCCTGCCCCTTCCCTGCCAGCTCTCTCACCACACCACCAAGTGTGATTTCCTCATAGAAATCATCCAGCTCAGTCAGACCTTGATGGACCCTTGATAAATCCATGCTGACAGCTCCAAATCACCAGTCCACTGTGTCTTATAATGGCTTCAAGGTTAACTTGCTCTATAATCTTCCATAAACCTCTGCTGTTATTTTATTGATTCATTTTGGCTGCAACTTTTTGTGCAGAACAATTTTTATTTTTCCATGACTAAATGATCAATAACATGGTCAAGAGGGACTTCATTCATCACTGCAGAGAAAATCCATGGTGTTAGGGTATGATTGCACCCATTGTATTTAAGTCTGAATTAATAAAAAACCCAAACCAACCCACATTGCCATCACTGCAATTTTTCTAAAAGAGTTGTCCTCACAGTCAGAGCATTACTGAGCAATAAATACATGCAAGAGATGGAAATTAATGGGCCTCTTTTTTTCAGAATTAATGATCCTTCATGTCCTGCTGTGGCATAAAACTTCAGCTACCCACTTCTAGTCACAAGACAAGCATGTTTTCCCTGTTTTATAAAGTTTTATGATGAAGCTTTGCA